GTTGTGGGTCAACAATATACTAATTTGAATAGTAAACTTGCTAACTATTTATTAAATGTTGAAAATTCCACAACACTTGACTTCAATTGTTTAGGATTGTCTGGTTGGCTTTGTCGTCTTTTTAAACTCATGATGAACAGATTCACCTGCTTGTTCAGAGTAAATTCCAAGTCCATTATCAGTATTGGTACTTTTTAGAAATAGTACAATATGGTTAACTGCAATATAAACTATTATTCTAAGTATTATAAAGCATAAGACATCTTGAATTCAAAAATTACAGATTCAATATCACCAATAATTTTTTCTCCAAAGGTAGCTTGCTTCATTGCTTGAAACTTTCTCAAACATTCAATTACTGGCAATAATTCAATCTTTCCTTGATCAGCAATATCACGAGCAAGAACATCTAACTTATCTAAAAATCTGTTGGCATTGTTGCCATCAAATCCAATGCTATGGTAACCTCTGAAAAATATTTAGTTTGAGTTTAACCACTTTTCAAAGTCAGGCCATAGTTTTGATAAAAGTTTTCCAAAAGTTGTAACTATTCCGATTAATGTATGCAACTCAGGTACTGGAACTAAATTTTCTATATAATAATTGTGTCTGGATCTTCTTCAAAATATAATAGTCTTGGATTAATGACATTTTTATAATCAGCGATCTTTGATTTTGGTTTTCCAGCTTCTGTGTATTTAGTGTAATGATAATCGAGGGAACAAAGAGTTCCTAAAAAATCCAAAAGACTCTCTTCTTTACACCACAAACAACCATATTTTCCAGCATGGCTTGTAATGCCAAACATTGAGTTTGCACACTTTAAATCAAATGCAACAGAATACTTAATATTTTGAAGATTAAGAATATCAACTAATTTCCTAAAATTTCCATTGTATTCAAAAACTCCTTCTACAATAGCAACAATAAAACAACGCTTAACTCCAGCATCATCAAGGTCAGGTTGGTTGCTAGTTTTATCATGCGGATTAAAAAGATTCATAGTGACCTTTAAAAAACCTTGACCAGAATCCACAGCAATTCTTACAATTGTAGAAAGAGGGTCATTATTCGATTCAGTGATTATATTATGAATAAACTCATCAATATCCTTTATATTAACCATTGATTTTTTTACTATATCGCCAGCTTCAAAAAATTCTTCTTCTTTACATAAAAAATATTCATTCATTCCTGCTTTTAAAGCTTCTAATTTTTCAATAATATTTCCTTCTATGCTATTTGAAAGCCAAGAATTTTTCTAAATATGGAACACATTTTTATGGTTTTACACTGATATAGTTCTAAACATTTTATAAGCTCAATGATTGTTCCAAAAGACACTTGGCTAAGATTAGCACGATCACATTTATTGCCCATAGTTCCAGCTAAAATAGTCAATGGTTTCCCATTAAAAGCAATTATGAATTTTTCACCTCTAAAAATATTTTCCTTTTCCATTTTTGTTTTTAAAATACTTGAAGCAACACGTTGTGCACTTGCTGATCCCAATGCATATGCTGCATTAACTAAATTTTTCATAGCTTGAACATAATTACAAAGATGAATAATGCCTAATTTAACAATTCCACAACATTTTAGACAAATCCTTTCATTTTTATCTTCATTTAACTCAGAAATAATAATGTTAATATCTTTTGATATTTATGAAACATCTGAAGTTCTTCTGATATCTTGACGGTTTATCTAAACAAATAAATCTAAAACTATATAAACTAGTAATATAAAAAATATAACACATTATTAATGAACACATTAATGACATATTAGTTCTTATATATAGGAATTTTAAACAACTTGTTATATATAACAAGTTGTTTAAAATTTTCTAAATTTATAAAGGTTCTTTGAATCATTCAATGAATCAACAGAAATAAAGAGCTGAGTCTCAATAAATCATTGAGACACAGCTCTTACTTTTTACAAAATTGATAAAAATAAAACTTTTAAACACCAAGTCTTAAATAAAGTTTTTTATTAATTTTATCAACTAACCTGAGAAATTTGCTTTAGCCACTTATCAAGGTATTTTGTATCATTTTTTTCCAAACAAAAGAGGTTTTTATAGCAATTGATACAAATAACTTCAGGATGGTTTGCTAAATTTTGGTCATAACTATCTCAAATAAAAAATTTTATTTTTTCTTCAATAACTTTATTTATTTTATGAAGCTTTGCTGACTTTTTACCAAAGGTTTTAAAACAAACAGCACATAAATTGTTGACCGCCATTTAGTAAAACTCAAGTCGTTGTGCACCAGAGTAAAGGTTACTTTACTCTGGTGCACTCCCAGAGTAAACGTGATTATTTTTCCCGTTCCCGTTTTTTCACGGGAACGGGAAAAATAATCACCTGGGCATGCGTATTATAAGTTTTAATTTGTACGTAAAACTACGCATGCTCACGTGATTATTTTGTCCTTTCCTATCCCTTTTCCGTGGAAAACGGATGAGTGGAAACTCACCTTTAAAAAACGCCGGTATTTGATTAGCAATTTTATTGAAAATGGCCGATATTTTCAACTAAAAAACTATATTTTTTATTTTTTGATTTTCATACATTTGTTCATTCCCCTAGAGATTTTTACTAACTAAATATTTATTTTTTTATATACAACTAAGTATATATAAAAAAATCTGATGTGGGGAGACTTCAAACCTGGCGGTCACTGTGGTTCAATGTGTGCCCCTTACATTTAAAAGCCATTTAAAAACGAAATTATATAAATTTGAAAATGTTACTTTTTTAATTCTCATACGTTTCGTTCCCTTGTGTCTTCATAGAATCGAGAATTTTTTCTTTATTTTTGATCCATGTTGACAGCGTATATTTTGGAACACCATATTTCATGGTAAAGTGAGACTTTGAAGATCCTTCTCCAATATCCATTAAAGCAGCGTTCTTTTTTTTGAATAATTTTGTATTAATTTTTCTCTTTACAGTGACTGTAGCCATTGTAAAATGTAATACACAATACACAAATTTTATTAAAATTTTTCAACGCACGTCAGCATTACTTATACTATAAACTATTCTAATATTAAAACTGCTAACTTTGTTTACATCGCAATGCAAGTTCTTATAGTGTTTTAAATAAATTTCTTCAAAACTTGAAACTTAGTTGTGTTTGAGGGCAAAATGTTTAACATAATTAACATAATTAATAAAAAATGATAACTTTTACTAAGATTTTGTATTTTTTTATATTCTAGAGTTATAGGAAGAATATAAACCACGGAAACAGATGAAATAGTTCCACTTTGCAGATGTTTGCGTGAACGGGGATTCGAGTTAACGAGTGATTTTTATGAGAAAGTACTATGGAGGGTTCGAGGGAAACTTAAAAGTACTTCGCGTCACTGGAAGTTTGAGTTATTCGGGGTTCGAGATATTAGGAGTTCACTATACTTTTAATATTGTTGTCTTTATTTTATTTAATTTTTCTTTGAACATCTTGACATTTTTATTGTCTTTTAATAAATTGTCATTTTTGTTTTTTGTCTTATTTTAGTTTAAAATATATTTCAACTAATTTCTAACGGTAATATAAAAAAGTATATCTTTTAATATAACTGTTTGTAATGCCTAAATACGGTGTAAAAATACGGGACTTAGTGATAAGACTACTATTGTCTTCTCACAGTGTCACAAAATGAAAATTAATTTGAACTTTCCGTCTCCAAAAAAACCTTTTGAGGTTAGGTAGTACACAAAAAATACATTTTAATTTTATTGCAATATCGATGGTTAAGAGCACAAAGGGAATACGTCCACTAACCATTGTTTTGAGAAATCTGAATTTGAAAGTTTGAAAACATACAATAATTCATGATATTTATTTATTGTCATGATTTTTAACCAAATGCATTCCTCAATTAATTCTGTCTTGTTTTTTACTATCTTATTTTCATTTTTTTTTAAAATACTTTAATACAATAACTCGCAATAACTCAAAACCGTAAAATGTTGGACATATTCCCTTTGTGCTCTTAACCATCGATATAAAGTGTTGTATTGTTTTGAATTTGGTTTCAAATAAAATTACACACACAAAGTTTGCTGAGAAAGTACAGTTTTTGTGCTACATAACTAATAGAAGAAGAGAAGAAGAGAACAGTTGAAAATGCTTCTTTAAACTACTTACCTGACTATCAAGCAGTGAAGATTCATCAAATTACATGTGAATGCTTAATTTGCTGCATTAGAAAAACAAAACCTAATAACCCTCAACTAATTAGCACAGCCCAAATGGTTTACCTCAAAGAACAATCAGCCGTTAAGAAAAGATGTTCAAAAAACTTTTCCAACATTGGTAAAGGTCTTCCTTTTAGTTGAACCAAACAAATTGGCAGAACTTTTTGAATGTTGCTACAAAAGACGATGTTGCATCTGAAAGAGTAGCTGCTCTGATGTTTCTATACAAGACTCTGTCACCTCATGAAACTGTAAAAGAGAATTAAGAAGAAGAAAAACTAATTTATAGTCTAATCCTGTGCCTGATCATGTGAATCTCAATTATAGATTTTCTCAGTACATCTTTAAGACAGTAAGTCTTTGCAATATACTAAAAGCCTTTTTAAACCTGAGGTGTTGAATTTTTTTGTATTACAAACATCTGAACTAATAAATCAGAAATATAGTTGTCTAGTAAATCAAACTAGGCTTGGAAGTTTTTATACAATTCTCAATAGATTTAGGGTTGACGCAAGCTTTTTTACAGCACTTTTAATGTACTGTATATTGTTTTGCAACATGACTTATATAATTTTTTTATTGTTATGCATTTAATTTTTTTTATCGAAAAAAGAAGAAAAAAAAAAAGAAAAAAAGGTAAAAATAATATCTATTGATATTCAATTAATAAAATAGAAAATGAAATTTTTAAACAAATAACTGAATTAATTATATGAAAACAAAGAAAATCAAAAGTACAAAAATAGAAATAAAAACTATTAGTAAAAAATTTCTTCGTTTATTACTTTATGTACTTTTATATTATATAATATATCATACATTCTCATATAATATAATATATCATACATTTCATTTAAATATCATAAAACATTAAAATATTATTTACATTAAACATTCAAATAAAAAATCATTTTTGATATTAATATAAGACATAATTTTTTCTAATTAAAAACTTTTTAAATAAATATCAAAGAAATTAAATTACTCAAATAAAACTAATAAATTTTCATAAACGTTGTATTTATTACTTAAACCAAATTAAATCTAAGAAATTCTGCAAGTGATCGTTGTTCATAATCGCTTCTTTAGGTAAATTGATTTCGGGTCGTGCTAATTTCTTGAATTCTAAACCAAAGTTTAAATGTTTATAAAAAAACAAAGAAAATTACTAATAATTTTATTGAACATTTAAAGTAAAAAAAAAAAATTTTGCTATTAAAAGTTACGTAATTCTTATAACACTAATGAAATCATTGTTTTAGCGATAAAACGTTTTTAAGCTTAAAAAAACTCCCATTCTAGAGTATCTGTTTGTTTTAATCTAGAATATCTGTTTGTTTCATAGAAACTTTATTTATTTATACGTTATTATGTAAGTCATAATAATTCTTTAGTTGATATATTATAGTATATCTGATAAAACATTCAGAGTTTAAATTGAATACTTTTTGGTACAACTATTTTGAGTGTAACGAAAGATAAACGTAAAACACATCACACATTAGAAATAACATTTTAGCAAAGTAAAATCCACCCTAAACCTACACTTGCAAAAAAAAAAAAAAATTAAATAGGTGAAAATAAATAACAATTACCATTAAAATCAATTTTCCTGTTGGTGTTCAAGTTCTTTGTTCTCACCAAATCTTCTATATCCTTAGAGGTAACGGTATTATCATCAAGTCTGTTAAGAACGTAGAAAAGTTCTATAGCAGAAATAAAACCTTCATCTTCAGTATCAAAAGTCCTAAACGCCTCTACCAGGTCATTATCACTCCATGCCATTTGATCGCCTTGTGACGTCATTAAAGAAACAAACTCACTGAAGTCTATCTTGCCATTTCCTTAATAAAAACATTTTTCTTTTTAATTTTTTTTTAGTGTTATCTTTACTATTTTGCTTTATTTTATTTATTTAATTGTTTAAACTTTTATTCTTTACGCGTATTAAGGTATGGATTTGTCGAATACATTATTTAGATTGGATGCAGCTAGAGTAAATTCATCGACTAAGGGATTTGATTAGTTTATTAGTTTAAAGAAAAAGTAAAAAGATACAAAAAAATAGAGTATGCAGTATATTTAAAAAATGTACGAAATATAATGTTTATAAAATAAATATAAAACCCATAAGTAAAAACAAAAAGTGAGAAAGTAAACTTAAAAAAATAAGAAAAAGTTTACTTTCGGTTTACAATAACTCAATTTCTCAGTAAATAACACGGAAGCAGTAGCAGTTAGAAACGAAAATATAAAAAGCGCGGGAGTGAGTGAGCAAATTTTAAATACGGGAGGAAATAAAATGAGATATTAGTTAACTAATTTAACTAATAAAGCCGAGAGTTAATTTTTGATTATAAAAAAATTTGAAATTTTATTTAACTATTGATTATTTGTACTTATAATTATACTGTAGTTTTTATCTACCATGTATTATTTTGCTTATACTTTATAGATAGTTTTTATCTACCATGTATTACCAATATACGGGGCAAAATAATTAGAATCTTCAAATATCTTACTAAAACAACGTAGTCTTTTTTTTTTCTTTTTTAAATTTCGCTTACATTAAAATGTCACTTTACAATTATATATGCCATATATATCTTGTTACAATTAAAATAGTTACAACATTTATCAACATGATTAAAATTAAAAAAAACACACACATATATACCTTTAGATGTAAAAAACCCTTTTTTGCATCTACTGTCAGGAATTTAAAAAAGCGCACTTTTCTAAGAGAAAAAGCGTCCAAGCGTATAAGGCGCTTTGAAAATGTATTATTAAGTATCATCGCAAGGGTTTTTTACATCTACATATATACCCGACGGGCATTTGTTTTTAAAAGTTACGATCTAAATGTATTTTAAATGTCTTTTAAACGTCTTTTAAACATTAATGTTTAAAAGTTACGATCTAAATGTATTTTAAATGTCTTTTAAACGTCTTTTAAACATTAATGTTTAAAAGACGTTTAAAAGACGTTTAAAACACATTTAGAACGTAACTTTTAAATACAAATGCCCGTCGGGTATATATATATATATATATATATATATATATATATATATATATATATATATATATATATATATATATATATATATATATATATATATATATATATATATATATATATATATATATATATATATATATATATATATATATATATATATATATATATATATATATATATATATATATATATATATATATATATATATGCTTAGTGGGGAGATAATTATATGCAATATAATTATAAGCATATATAGACTTACAAATGTATAGATGCGTATAGATAAATAAACTGCTAACAATGAAACATAAGCTAGGCAGTGACGGGTCCAGGCAGAATGCTGGGGGAGGTTATGCATTTGACAGAATTTGAAAGTCCTAAAATATCTTAGAAATTGAGGACCCTCTTTTCTTTTTTTTTTAGAAAATGCAAATGTGGTACAAAATACAAAAATATCGTCCCTCCCCCACCAAAAGTTCCTGGATCCATCACTGAAGCTAGGATCTGAAAGAAGATTACAAGATCTTGCTGTCAGAACCTTATAAAGTACAAACAAGCAAAATAAAGACAAGTATAACATATTATAAAGTACAAACAAGCAAAATAAAGACAAGTATAACATATTATAAAGTACAAACAAGCAAAATAAAGACAAGTATAACATATTATAAAGTACAAACAAGCAAAATAAAGACAAGTATGACATATTACAAAGTACAAACAAGCAAAATAAAGACAAGTATAACATATTAAACAATAAAAAATAAAATAAAAAAAGTACTAAAATCTTAGTTGAACAATTTAAAAAAATTTTATAGATTGAGCTTGAAAAGGTTAAAGCAAGTTGGTAGATCAAAGTTCCGCAAAACAATATTACTACATAGGTGGGGTCCACGATAAGCAATGCAAAATTGATTAAATTATGTGTGACAAAACGGCTCATTTAAAATATTTATGTTTCTCATATCGTATTTGTTGTTAGATTTGAGTTTGAAAGTATTATTGAAAACGGTAAGGGATTGATTATTTCTTCAAAAATATGCAAAATATATAACTTTAAATACATTGAGTTCATATAAATTTAATAATCTCATGTTTTTGACGATGGTAAAGAAGTTTTAACCTACTTTTTACAGTATTACCAAGCAGTGTTAGCATTATTTATGTAACTGTCAGTGGCGGATTAAGACTTTTTGTGGCCCGGGGTTATTTTTGTTTTTGGAGGCCTCTAACATTTTTGGGGGCCCCTAAATTTGTGGGGCCCGGGGCTATAGTCCCCCTAGCCCCCCTTGATCCGGCACTGGTAACTGTGGATAAAAGAGTTAAAGTTGGCTTAAGCAATTTTTATGAAGATAGTTACGTGCTTTATAAAGAATCCCAGTGTTTTTTGAAATTTTAGTAGATACATAATTAATTTGTTGATTCCAGGAGATGTTTTCATCGTGATAACCGCCTAAGAATTTGTAACGGAATCATATTTTATTTCAATATCGTCTATATTTTGCAAGTTTGTTGCTAAAAATTGCTTTTTTGAACGCAAATAGAATAGATTCCATTTGGTTTTATTAATATTTAAAGTCAGCTTGTTACATTTAAACCAATTTTATGTATGTTTTAATTCTTTATTCATAGTAGTAAAAAGTTTATATGTACCACAGCTTGAGAGGAATAGGTTAGTATTATCTGCGTACACGATGCTTATAAGGTTAGAAGCTTTATTCAAATCATCTTTAAATATCAAGAAAAGTAGGGGTCCGATGATTGATTGAACCCTGAAGATTGAACCCTGATAAACCCTGGGGATTGAACCCTGATGAACACCGCATATCAAGATGATTGTTTTGATAACCGTTGTTACTAATTACAAATTTTTTTTTTTAGTAACTTTAGCAACTTTTAATTGCTTTGGAAATATTCCTCGATTAATAGAAGCTTTAAAAACTCTAAAAGGAAAATTTTAACATATCAAAACAATCTATAAATATGAATTGTTTTGATTGAAATGTAACTATAGTTACGTTTCCATGAATTTCATCTACTCCTGTTGCTTTGTTTTTTTTCTCAGAAATCAAAGCTACTTTAAATTCCTCATAATATAATTCTGAGATTAACTCATCAGAGGAAATGCAATAATCTATAGGTACGAGGAAATCATTAAAGGAAGCGGTCGTATTTGGAATCTTATTTAATAAGGAAAGATCCCAATAAAAAATTTATTAAATTCATGGGATATGACTCTTGGTTCATATAAACTTACGTTATCAACTTTAAGCATCTGCGGCAGAAAACTTAAACATGATTTTTGTTTTCCAGTAATTTTTTTCATAATTTGCCATGAGCTCATGGCAAATTAAAACGCTCATAAACGGCAAAATAAAACACTCATGTATGAGCGTTTCAGTCGTTTTTACATTTATTTATTAGTTCTGAGTATTAAATGCTTTTTAAGTTTTTACGTACTTTTTCAAATAGATATTTCTAGTTTTTATATATTTTTTTGCTAACAGGTGTTTTTGTTTTTAGATATTTAATATGTAACTTCTATTTAATTTTTGACAATTTTTTTAATCCTTTCTTAATCCAGGGACTTTTTGAGCTTTTGTTTATTTTTACTATTTTTTCAACAATTGGAAAATTAGCGTGGTAAAGAAAAAAACAAATTTTTATAAAATGTTACGTAGATGCTATTTGCGTTGTCATTAAAATCAATACGAGTAAAGATTTTTAAATAGTTCAAATTTTTTTTTGTTTAAAAATACGTTTTCTTACAACTTTTGGGGTGTTCAAATTAAAAAAAATATATATTTTTTTAATTTGAGTTTATTATTAGAAATATAGGAAAATGATCGGATATCTCAGTTTTTAAGATACATTTTATAAGTATCTTTTTTAAAAATATCTTTAATAACGATATTATTTATATAGGTAGCCGAGTTAATTGTTACCCTAGTGGGGCGATCAATTAAGGGTATAGATCCTGTTTAAAAAATAGTGCTATAAAATTTTTTATCTTTGTAGTCATCGTTATAAAGAAAACAATTCAATAACAACAGCTGTTCTTTTTGACAACTATAATAACACTCGAGGACTTAAGTATAAAATGCACAAACAACATTGTCGACTAGATATTTGCAAATTTAGTTTATCTTACAGAGTTGTCAACATTTGGAAGTTGCCTTTCTGTAAATCTGTAAGAGAAAAATTAACTCAATCAAATTTAAAAAGTTTTGTCGGCGTTGACTATATATCTTATTGTCTATTTGTATATAAATTATTTATTCAATGTTGTACGCTGTTTCACAATTTTTTTTTATTTTTTATTTGGAAGGAGGAGGGGGGGGGGAGAGGGGGAGCGCTGTTAGTGTCCATCAATATGGACCTGCGTATCCTTTAGAACATGTATTATTTGTTCTAATAAATACAATCTAATCTTATCTAATTTAAGCTTAAAATAATGTTTCTTGTTTTTTCGAGTAAAATTTCAATTGTTAAAACTTTTTTTATCGCCATTGGAGACGCTTAAATCATTTCGCATATTATAAAAGACATTTTAATGAACATAAATTAGAAGCCCTCCAACCCACTCTACCCAAATACCGAAGTCAATGCAATTTTCAGAAAAACCATTCAACTGAGCATGCAATTATTGAAATAGTCAACTAAATAGCTAATGGTTTAGCAAAAAAAAAAAATTTACTTTGGGAGTATTAACTAATTTAACTAAAGCATTCTACACAAATTTACATTTTCTTAAATGAAATAAAGCAACATAGTATAAATAATACATCGTTAAAGGTTTTTTCTGATAGTAAGTTATATGTG